CGCCACATTGCCACCGTTTTCTATGATAAACTGGAAGATGTCGAGGGACATGTATCCTCTGTCTCTGTCCAAGGCGTACAGCAGAGCGTTCCTGCCTCGCTGTAGTAGAAATATATATATAACTAATGACTTGGTGCATGTTTGACACAACTATATAAATACAGTTTAACACTTTTCATCGGACTCCGGTCGGAATCCGTACCGGAAGTCCTAACTAGACTCACCACCACACATATAACAAAACGGCGGATTATCAATGTTTTTTTTAAATGATCGCGGTATAACTGCTGCAAGAAATAAACAGGTAACCATGAACCAATGTTTCTATTGTTTATGTCGTTTTTCACAGACATAAACATCCTCATTTTCGCAGCATTATGACCTGAGAAATCAATATTTGTCTGGCAACGAAAGATATGATTCCTTGTGTTCAAAACAGCATTGTAGTGTGGGTCCCAATGGGGATTGATTTTAGTTACGATATTGTTTATTTTTTTCAAAATACAAGTAGGTTTTATTGTGACTTTATCAATAACTACTTCCATAACTCCCCATCAATATTTGGTGATGAATTTACCAGTGTTTGTATCGAATTCAGTCATCATATTGCTTATATTGGAGACCATAAAACGTGACATCTTGTGGAAACAATAAAAGGTCACAAAATGAAAATGTGTACTCTGCACCTATTAAAATCTTTCTTGCCAACTGATGGGTGCTGATTTAATAGAAAATTAATTGGATTACACAACTGTTGTGTGTTATTTAAGGATTAACTTGAATATATTTTTCATGTTATGGAGCTATAACACAAAAAGCTGGAGTGTACTCTCATCATAAACCGCTTCACGGTTTATTTAGAGTACTCTCCGTTTTTTTGTGTTATATCTCCATAACATGAAAAATATATTCAAGTTAATCCTTAACTTATAATAATTATAATTTCATCTACTCTACACAATCCCTGTGGAAATCCACTTTTATTGATGGACTCTTTTCTCTTAGAAATTATTGCACTGCTGTATCAGCCAATCAAAAGCGACGTTACAAACGGCGATGTCATTTTTTTACGTTATTGGCTGATAACATACATTTTTAAGCCAATGAAAATGCTTGTTACAAGCAAGATTAAATAACCAGTTAAACAGAAGATACTGGTTACACCAAATCAACGGGGATGAGACAGCATATAGTTTTCTCCTCTGTACACGACAGCGGTAAGGAAAGAGTTAATACAGTTAATACAGACACTATAAGGAAAATTATCACAATCAATTCATAGTCCTCTTCCTCTGGACAAGTTTCAGCAAAAAAACACCGAAAAACAAAGGGATATAACTCTATGTATCAATGCGATACAAATTCAGTAAGCATCACTCTGCTATCCCTACAAAAGGTGGCACTTGTAGGTGATATAAACTCTATAAGACACACCTGATTAAGTGACAAATAGTGAACAAAGGGATATAACTCTGTATAACAGGATAAAAAGTCCCAATATCACTTTGCAAAACTAAGACGTACTCACATATACTTACGTACTCACATATACTTACGTACTCGATTTGGCAATTGTACATGACATGGTATTTACCAAGATAGGCCTCGGACAGAGTGACTGTTATTTAGTAGGATAGGCCTCGGACAGAGACACTGTTATTTAGTAGGATAGGCCTCGGACAGAGTGACCGATATTTAGTAGGATAGGCCTCGGACAGAGTGACTGTTATTTAGTAGGATAGGCCTCGGACAGAGTGACTGGTATTTAGTAGGATAGGCCTCGGACAGAGTGATTGTTATTTAGTAGGATAGGCCTCGGACAGAGACAATGTTATTTAGTAGGATAGGCCTCGGACAGAGACAATGTTATTTAGTAGGATAGGCCTCGGACAGAGTGACTGGTATTTAGTAGGATAGGCCTCGGACAGAGTGATTGTTATTTAGTAGGATAGGCCTCGGACAGAGTCACTGTTATTTAGTAGGATAGACCTCTGACAGAGTGACCGTTATTTAGTAGGATAGGCCTTGGAGAGAGTGACCGTTATTTAGTAGGATAGGCCTCGGACAGAGTGACTGTTATTTAGTAGGATAGGCCTTGGACAGAGTGACCGTTATTTAGTAGGATAGGCCTCGGACAGAGTGACCGTTATTTAGTAGGATAGGCCTTGGACAGAGTGACTGTTATTTAGTAGGATAGGCCTCGGACAGAGTCACTGTTATTTAGTAGGATAGGCCTCGGACAGAGTCACTGTTATTTAGTAGGATAGGCCTCGGACAGAGTGACTGTTATTTAGTAGGATAGGCCTCGGACAGAGTGACTGTTATTTAGTAGGATAGGCCTCGGACAGAGTGACTGTTATTTAGTAGGATAGGCCTCGGACAGAGTGACTGTTATTTAGTAGGATAGGCCTCGGACAGAGTGACTGTTATTTAGTAGGATAGGCCTCGGACAGAGTGACTGTTATTTAGTAGGATAGGCCTCGGACAGAGTGACTGTTATTTAGTAGGATAGGCCTCGGACAGAGTGACTGTTATTTAGTAGGATAGGCCTCGGACAGAGTGACTGTTATTTAGTAGGATAGGCCTCGGACAGAGTGACTGTTATTTAGTAGGATAGGCCTCGGACAGAGTGACTGTTATTTAGTAGGATAGGCCTCGGACAGAGTGACTGTTATTTAGTAGGATAGGCCTCGGACAGAGTGACTGTTATTTAGTAGGATAGGCCTCGGACAGAGTGACTGTTATTTAGTAGGATAGGCCTCGGACAGAGTGACTGTTATTTAGTAGGATAGGCCTCGGACAGAGTGACTGTTATTTAGTAGGATAGGCCTCGGACAGAGTGACTGTTATTTAGTAGGATAGGCCTCGGACAGAGTGACTGTTATTTAGTAGGATAGGCCTCGGACAGAGTGACTGTTATTTAGTAGGATAGGCCTCGGACAGAGTGACTGTTATTTAGTAGGATAGGCCTCGGACAGAGTGACTGTTATTTAGTAGGATAGGCCTCGGACAGAGTGACTGTTATTTAGTAGGATAGGCCTCGGACAGAGTGACTGTTATTTAGTAGGATAGGCCTCGGACAGAGTGACTGTTATTTAGTAGGATAGGCCTCGGACAGAGTGACTGTTATTTAGTAGGATAGGCCTCGGACAGAGTGACTGTTATTTAGTAGGATAGGCCTCGGACAGAGTCACTGTTATTTAGTAGGATAGGCCTCGGACAGAGTGACCGTTATTTAGTAGGATAGGCCTCAGACAGAGTGACCGATATTTAGTAGGATAGGCCTCGAACAGAGTGACCGTTATTTAGTAGGATAGGCCTCGGACAGAGTCACTGTTATTTAGTAGGATAGGCCTCGGACAGAGTCACTGTTATTTAGTAGGATAGGCCTCTAACAGAGTCACTGTTATTTAGTAGGATAGGCCTCTAACAGAGTCACTGTTATTTAGTAGAAGTTACATTTTGCTTCCTTAAAGTTTACGCAAAAGATGGACGATTGGACACTGACCACTTCCTTCAGGAGTTCAAAATTTACCTCATCTTTCAGGCTGAAATTTGCCTTTGATTTCAATATCTTCCACATGATGTCAGATTGCATTGTAGGTGAAATGGCTTCAAAGTAGAGTGGAGCCTGAAATCATAATAGTACATAGTCAGGTCCTAGGGTACAATGTATGGGGCAACCACTTTGTAACAGGGGGTACAATGTATGGGGCAACCACTTTGTAACAGGGGGTACAATGTATGGGGCAACCACTTTGTAACAGGGGGTACAATGTATGGGGCAACCACTTTGTAACAGGGGGTACAATGTATGGGGCAACCACTTTGTAACAGGGGGTACAATGTATGGGGCAACCACTTTGTAACAGGGGGTACAATGTATGGGGCAACCACTTTGTAACAGGGGGTACAATGTATGGGGCAACCACTTTGTAACAGGGGGTACAATGTATGGGGCAACCACTTTGTAACAGGGGGTACAATGTATGGGGCAACCACTTTGTAACAGGGGGTACAATGTATGGGGCAACCACTTTGTAACAGGGGGTACAATGTATGGGGCAACCACTTTGTAACAGGGGGTACAATGTATGGGGCAATCACTTTGTAACAGGGGGTACAATGTATGGGGCAACCACTTTGTAACAGGGGGTACAATGTGGTTTGGACATTAGATAATAGAAATAACCAAGCAATACTTTGTGATGTAAATAGAGCAACAGGAGATTATATTGTCAACAGGAAAAGGATACTTAATGATATATCTCCTACAGTATATTTAAAAAAAAAAGTTTACTTTTTGAAACACTATTTGAAAACAGAGGTAGTCTTTGCCACATCTATACCTCCAGAAACAGATTTTTTTAAAGGTTCTTTCATATATTTTGACATTTTTGTATGCAATTTTTTTTTACACATCCCCTGTAAGTTCTAATTCATTTGGAAATACAAAGACACTGAAACAGGTTTAATACAAAAGAACTATGGGTACCATTACATTGTTTTACACATTCTGTATCTGAATAAGCTGAGAAAATATTTGGAACATACCCTAAAATAATTTTTTAAGCGAACATGGATGTTGATGTCAGCTCCAGCATCACACAACATCTGGACGAGTCTGTAGTCCCGTAGTTGTATGGCATGTTGTAATATATGCTGCTTTTGTGATGCCTGGAAATGATAATACAGTAATTGACATTAACCTAGGGTAATCATCATATAGATAATACAGTAATTGACATTAACCTAGGGTTAATCATCATATAGATAATACAATAATTGATATTAATCTAGGGCTAATCATCATATAGATACTACAGTAATTGAAATTAACCTAGGGTAATCATCATATAGATAATACAGTAATTGACATTAATCTAGGGTTAATCATCATATAGATAATACAATAATTGATATTAATCTAGGGCTAATCATCATATAGATACTACAGTAATTGACATAAACCTAGGGTAATCATCATATAGATAATACAGTAATTGACATTAATCTAGGGTTAATCATCATATAGATAATACAATAATTGATATTAATCTAGGGTTAATCATCATATAGATACTACAGTAATTGACA